TCCCGCCCTATGACGTTGGGACACTTCACTTCGTGGCGTGCGGACGACCCTGGCTACTACACTGGCGTGGGGTACACACCCACAGAGGTTGATCACATCTGTTACATATGATGTGGTACACGGTACACGTGAGATGGTACGCAGTGCCAAGATAGTTGGTCACATTTTTGGGGCAAATTCGTGGGGATGCGATTACAGAAGTACATGTGTTACACTGATGTTATACAGTCCCAAGGATGACGCATGCATTGCTCATAGACTCATGGCGCTATGATCCTAACTCTCAGTGCCCAACGCGCGCGTGCACAGCCAGACGGAGGGAGAGAAACACATGTATACAAGGTTCGTGACATACGCACGGTCCACCATGTTGTAAACGATCGCATGCACGGTAAGTTCTGAAATTATACGTATGTACAAGCAGACATGCGAGGGAGAAAGGGAGATGGCCATCGACAGTTCCAATACGGCTCCAAGGCGGAAGAGGGGGAGGAGGAGCAGGCAAGGAGGAAAGGAGAGAGAAAGGGATGGTGGCCCTCGCAGGCGCGCAACCGTTGTTGGAGAAGTTCAAAGCACCTGAAGAAGTAGCACGCAAAGACCCTTTTGACAGAAATGTTTAAAAAGTGGTGTGTTTCCTATGAATCCGCAAGAGCGCGCGGAAGGACATTTTGACAATTTTTTCTTAAAAAACCATTGGGTTTTTGATGTTTTTATGTTAAAATCGCTACGAAACCTAAGGTTTTGGAAGGATTTCGTCTTGCGAGCGCGAATGTCCACTTTACCTTATTTTTTGCAAGGGATTCTTGAAATTTGATCAACTAAGAACAAGAATTTTCATTTTCTATTGTTTTTTGCAAGGGAAAACGAGCGTCAACAAAAAACCGGATCCGGGGGTAATCCACTTTTCTGAAGCTTTCGCAGAAAAATGATGAAAATGTAGCTGCGGCCTAGGTTTTGGGCGGGGGGCGTGCACCAGGGGGTCCAACAATAATAATTCTTTAGAAGTAATAGTGTTCAACGACGCTCCCGCTCGAGACTTCCTCCTTTTTTACTCAGGGCCGGTGCTCCTGCTCGCTGCCGAAAGCCAGCAAAACCAGCGCTCCCGCTCGGGACTTCCTCCCTGTTGACCTTGGACTGGCGCGCTACTCTTTTTCTCATCGGCGCCGCCCCCAGCAACAACAACGCTCCCGCTCGAGACTTCCTCCCTTTTCTACTCAAGGCGGTGCTCCTCCTCGCCGCCGAAAACCGCCGTCCCGACAAAACCAGCACTACCGCCCGAGACTTCCTCTCGTTTTACGCTGGACTGGTCCCCTACTCTCTTTTGAATTGGCGCCGCTCCCAGCCAGAACAACCCTCCCGCTCGAGGCTTCCTCCCTTTTTCCTTAAGACGGTGCTGTTCCTCGCCGCCGACAGCCCCCGTCCCGACAAAACCACGGCTCCCGCTCGAAGCGTCCTCCCTTCTTACTCAAGGCGGTGTTCCTCCTCGCCGCCGAAGACCGCCGTCCCAACAAGACCAGCGTTTCCGCTGGAGACCTCGTTTTGTTTTGCGCTGGCTAGCTCCCTACTCTCTTCAGCCTTTGCGCCGCCCCCAGCAACAACAGCGGCGCTGCTCGAGAATTCCTCCCTTTCTATTCAGGGCCAGGTCCTTGCCTCGACGCCGACAGCCCCCATCCCCACCAAGGCAATCCTGTCGCTGGATACTTCCGTGTGCTTTACCCTTCGCTGGGGCTCCACTGGCGGTCTCGCATCGGAGCAGCAAGGCGCGGGTATGTGTGTTCGAGGCGGGATCTGTTGAAATTCCTCGGAGGTGCTTGCAAACCATCATTGGGCGGGAGATCTCGGAATGGGAATAACGGACCCGCTATAGAACTAGAATCCTCCATGATGGGGATGGTTATCATGATGGTCGCATGCTTCGTGTGGGAACCTCGCGCATGAGGGTAAAAATGATTGTTGCTGTTGCTGTTGTTGGTTTCCCCAGGGATGCACGATCGAAGAAGAAGAGGGCGGAGATCGAGGGTTTGCGATATACGTTTTGAGTGGCATGCGAGCAGGTAAGAGCCATCAGTGTTAAGATGGTTGTGGCTGTTGTTGTTGGTGTTGTTGGTGTTGCTGTTGTTGTTGGAGGTGTTGGTGTTGGTGTTGGTGTTGGTGGTGGTGGTGTTGCTGGTGTTGCTATAAGTGGTGGTGCTATTGCTGGTGGTGTTGGTGTATTGTAGTTAGTATGGTTGGTGGTGTTGGTGTTGTTGGTGCTGGTGGTGTTGTTGCTGTTGGTGTTGATGGTGTTGGTGTTGGTGTGAATGCTGTTGTTGTTGTTGCAGGTGCTGCTGTTGTTGGTGGTGTTGCTGTTGTTGCTGTTGCTGTTGTTGTTGTTGGTGCTGTTGTTGTTGATGTTGTTGTTGTTGTTGGTGGTGGTGTTGTTGTTGGTGTTGTTGTTGTATGTGTTGTTGTTGTTGGTGTTGTTGTTGTTGTTGTTGGTGTTGTGGTTGTGGTTGTTGTTGTTTGTTGCGTATTGTGTGTTGCTTGTTGCGTGTTGCGTGTTGCGTGTTGAGTGTTTCGTGTTGCTTGTTGCTCGTTGTCGTCGTCCCGCCCGAGACCTGGCACGCGACCCACCCGCGACCCACCCTGCCCTACGAGCCACCCGCGACCCACCCACGACCCACCCGCGACCCACCCTGCGAGCCACCCCGCGACCCACCCCGCGACCCATCCGCGACCCACCCCCTCACTCCTGTCCGCAGCTGCGGGGTGCTACCTGCTGGAGGGCGGCCGCCCGATCCTCTGGTGCGCGCAGTGGGTGTTCGACCGCCAGCCGCCGCCTCGGGGGTTTTCGGACGTTGCTCCACGGGGGGCCTTCGGAGAAACCAGGAGGGCCCAAGAGGGGCCTCCAGACGGCCCCGGGGGCCCCCAAGACGGCCCAAAGGAGCGCCAAGAGGGCCCAAAGAGGGGCCCACGAGGGAGAATACGGATTTACGTTTCGAGCAGGTTCCCCCCAAGATGGCTCCATGAGACCCCCGGATGCCCCCGAGGCGCCCCCAAGAGGCCCCCAAGGCCCTCACGAGCCCCCCAAGAAGCCCGCAAGGGGCACTCAAGAAGCCCCCCGAGGCCCCCCAGATACCCCCAACAAACCCTCCAAGAGACCCAACCTGGGGGTGGGCGGAACAGCGTAAGCCACTGGAAATCACCCGGACTTTGGCGCGCCCAGTCTCCATTCTCCAGCCTTTCTACCTGCCAGGGTGGAAGCTGCAAAGTCCTGGCGAGCAATGTCCTGTTTTTAGAAGCCTCTTGTATGATTTTCTGCATCTGTTCATGCCGTCGTGGAGCCGTCTTCGCCTCGTCCGGCGAGACCGGAAGTGGGCGGACGGTGACGGTGACCGCGAAGCGTCTTGAAGAGCCAGGACTTTGGCGCGCCCATTCTCCATTCTCCATTCTTCCACCTCCCAGGGTTTAATCTTCAAAGTCCTGGCTAGCAATGTCCTGGTTTTAGAGGCATCCTAGATTCGGTCCAAATAGATGGGGTCGGAGGCTCCCGCCGCATCGCGAATGCGTCGGCGACATCGGCGTGGAGAAAATCGGGGTCTGCACCGAGCCGCATCGGCGATGCGGCGCCATCCTCCGACCCCATCTGCTCTGACCACATTTGGGAGGCCTAGAGCCTAGATTGGCGACGCGCACAAGAGGGTAGGGGGAGGAGGGAAGGCCTCTTAGGAAGAGGCTGCTTCTTGGAAGGCGCCGGCCTTATATCTACAGAGAAGCCCGCGCCTTCCAAAAAGCAGGGTGCCTCTAAGAAGCCTTCAACCTCCCCCTACCCAGACATGCGACGTCCTGATGTTTTCAGTACGCCGTCCCCGGGAGTCACGACCCATTCCCTGGGGCCGGTTTTTCATCCTGAGCCGTTTTTCCCTGGACCCAGCGAAGGCCCCCACAGGCCGACAATAGCAACAACAAAAGAAAAACACGCCCTGATGCCTTACACGACGCGAGCATGTATGCGCGTGGCCGACTGAAGGTCTGGGGGGTCCCTGTGGGGCGATCTTCCCGTGCCACCCCTGGGTCGGCGACGCGCAAAAGCTACCCCGTGTAAGAGTGACCTTTGGTGCGCGGCTTGAGGGGGAGCCAAACAACACAAGCGCGCAAGACGCTACTATCGCATCGCGCTTGGCGATCGGGGGACCCCCGTGGGCCGCACTCTTGCGCGTAGTGGACCTTACGCCGCAGCTTCCGCGGGCCGCAGGACCACGGCGCGCCTGGGGACGAGGGCGCTCACGCGCGACCTCACTCGGGCAGCTTACTCACCGATGTCGGCGAAGACGACCCCTCCTCCTCCACCTCCTCCTCCTCCTCCTCCTCCTCCTCCTCCTCCTCCTTCTCTTCCTCCTCCTCCTCCTCCTCCTCCTCCTCCTCCTCCTCCTCCCCCTCCTCCTCCTCCTACTCCCCTCCCCCTCGCCCCTCCTCCTCCTCCCCCTCCTCCTCCTCCTCCTCCTCCTCCTCCTCCTCCTCCTATTCCTCCTATTCCTCCTATTCCTCCTCCTCCTCCTCCTCCTCCTCCTCCTCCTCTCCTCCTCCTCCTCTCCTCCTCCTCCTCCTCCTCCTCCTCTCCTTCCTCCTCCTCCTCCTCCTCCTCCTCTCCTCCTCCTCCTGCCTGCTGCTCCTCCTCCTCCTTCTCCTCTCCTCCGCCTCCTCCTGATTATGCTCCTTCCCCTGGACCTGCTCCTCCTCCTCCTCCTCCTCCTCCTCCTCCTCCTCCTCCTCTCCTCGTATCCTCCTCCTCCTCCTCCTCCTCCTCCTCCTCCTCCTCCTCCTCCTCCTCCTCGGCGTAAGGTCACTTCGGCGATGGATCACTCTTGCGTGCAGTCGACTGGGCGCGGCGGCCCTCGAGCGGGACCGCGGGCTGGCCGCGCCCTCGACGCCACGCCGCTCGCGATCGGGCCGTCGGGCGCCTGATCGGCGACGGCCACGGCCGCAGCGGGCGGCCGCGCGGCGGGGCTGAGCTCGACGACGAAACTCAGCCGGGCGCGCAAGGTCTGCTTGAACCTTTCCGTCTCCTCCTGAGGACTTGGGGGAGGCAACTCCTGGGAGGTCTCGGCTCGAACGATGCAAGGCGATAAAGCCCGGATGAGGCCGGAGCAAGCCTGGGATCAAGCCAGATGAAGCCGGATTGAGCTGGACTCAGCAGGATCGAACTGGATGAAGCTGAATTGGCCCAGATGAAGCTGGTTATCGACCGCGAGAATACCAGCGCCGGTACAACATCGAAGCTCACAGGAGTTGCACCCTAGCCCCTCGGGCCGGTGGCTCCAAGATGGGGGCCCGAAGGATGGTCGCCGTGGGGAAGCGGGTCCTGAGGGAAACGGGTCCCGAGATGTTTCGCCGTTTTCGGGCTCTCGGGGCCCTCCACGGGCCCTGGGACTGTCAGAAAAAGGCTCAAGATGAAGGTCTCGTCTTGGGGGGAGGCCAGGACCCGTTTTCCCTCAGGACCCGCTTCCCCGATGCTAAGATAGGGTCCTGAGGGTAGGAAGGGATCCAAGGGTGGACTTGTACATGGTCTGGGGCACCTCGTCCTCGGGGCCACATGCTTCAGGTAAGACGAAACCAGGGCGAGGACAAATCCGGGCGAGGATACATCGGGAATCTCTGAGATCCGGCGGCTCTGGAGGATAAATCGGGCGCCGCGGCCTTCTCAGAGCATTTTGGAACGCTCCCAGAGCGTTCTAGAAGACTCTGGATCGGATTTCTCCGATTGGTGAAACCAAAAGGTACCGAGATCGCTACACCCCAGACCTCTCCCAGGGTGCGTTCTGACCAGAACTTAGCGACGAATCCGGCGGTGGCGACGCGGGCCTCCCAGGAGACCCAAAAAGAAGAAATCAGAGAAAGGCATCGGTATGTGTACTTGTTCCTCCTGTGAGTATCTTGGCGGCGACGACAAGGGCGAATAGCCCATGGGCGGGCATTATACGCACTCGCCCGGGAGCCTTTTCGAAAACATAGATCATCGGCGCACCTGAATACATGTATTGCTCTCCCCTGGGTTATTCGCCCGTATCGTCGCCTCTGACTATCCTCGTCATAGCCCCGTCCAATCAGGACCCCACCTTTGAACCACCGGTCGGGGGCGCCGCTTCTCTCGCGAGGGGGGGCCGGCGGGGAGGCGTCGGGTCCATCGCACCGGGCGTGGCGCGAGGGACAGGGGAGCGGGGGAGAGGGGCGCCTTCCTCCTCCTCCTCCTCCTCCTCCTCCTCCTCCTCCTCCTCCTCCTCCTCCTCCTCCTCCTCCTCCTCCTCCTCCTCCTCCTCCTCCTCCCAGCCCCTCAAGGCTAAACGTTGTTTTGGCTCAAGGCTAAACGTTGTGAAGGGCTATGGACGCCTGAGAATCAGCGATTAGCTTTGGGGCTTCCGTAGCCTGCTTTCTTCGAGAGGAGCGAAGGCTCCCTTTTGGCATCATTCCTCCATATCTGAGTCGCCCGTGGCCATGGCGCCTGAGCCCCCATGGCGTCGCGGTGGTGCTGGTCCTCGGGCTGGCAGCTATCGCGGCCAATCTGGGAGCTGGGTGTTTCAGCCTGAAGGTTCACGGGACGGCATGCGTATCCCGCGGCGCCGCATGCGCCAGCGGAGGTACCACGTGTGTTCTTCCTGCAGTCACTGGGAGTGGGCGAGCCGTGGGCACGAGGCTTGTTCCAAGTGCGGGGGCTACTACCTCGAGTCCAATGTCGGTGGAGGGGGAGACCATGAAGGCGCCCCTGTGCGGGCTGCTGGTGCTGGGCAGCCCGATGCGCAGCTGCGCGCCGCCGCTGCCACTCTCCTGGCAGCGCGGCCTGACCTCCGCGAGTCCCTGGGCGACTTGGCGGAGGAGCCTGCGCCCCCTGCGGCTGTCCTCACGCCCGCCCAGCTCGACACCGCGGCGAACACCGAGCGGACCCGCTTGGCCCGCGTGGTCGAGGACGCAGCTCGGCAAGTTCGACTCGCGTGCCAGGAAGTGGAACAGAAGAGAAGCAAGGCTCAACGTGTACGGGAGCAACTCGAGGAGGCGACGAACGCCCTGCACGCTGCGGAGGAGGAGCATGACGCTGCTCAGAAGGCTCGCCGTGATGCAGACGCCGAGCTGCAGGCCTTCGACCGTGGAAGGCGGCGAAGGCTGCTGAGGCGCGCGCTGAGGCGCCGCGGGCGGGCCGCGCCCTGGCGGGGCGGGCGCCCTGGCACGTGGCGGCGCGGCGCGCGGCGGCGAGGCTGCTGGAGGTGCTGGTGGTGGCGGCCCTGCTCATGCTGGTGTGCCTGCTGGCGGTGAAGGAGGTGTGGACGCTCCAGTGCAGGAGCCCACGCAGGTGGACCTTCCCGATTTCTCGCAGATGTCGGCAGCCGAGCAGAATGAGTGGGCCAGCCAGCAGCGGTTGCCCAAGGGCCTCTGGGAGGCGTTCGTGGCCATGCGGACCACCATTCTTCGTGCTGATGATGATGCTGCTAGTGACGCTGGCAGTGACGCCAGCTTCGGCGATGCAGTCGGAGCTGGAGATGAAGAGTTGCGCGGATTGCGCAAGCGTGGCCAAGAGCAGGTCCTTACCCCCGAGGAGCAGGAGCGCATGGAGAGCCTCATCCGTGATCGCGTTCGAGCTCGTACCTCCAAGCGCCTGCGGACCACAAAGGAGCAGATCCATAGCCAGTTCACCGAGCTGCTCAAGCAGGCCGTCGCGATGCCTGTGGAAGGGGCGGCGTCTCTTTAGCACTGAGTTGGCTCACCGATCCCGTCCGCCCCGAGCCAAGGTTTCACTTGCTGCAGGCGGTGGCCTGAATTTGGTGTTTTGTAACGTCACAAGCTGGTCCAGGATTGCGAAGGACTTTGCGTCTGCCATTTGCCCAGAGGTTGATGCTTTTCTCTTTTGTGAGCACCGATTGCAGCAGCATGCTTTGCCTGCCGCGAAGCGAGAGATTGCAGCCATGGGCTGGAGGCCCCACCTGCAGGCAGGTGTGCCTACTAAGGGAGGGGGGACTCACGGCGGGGTCGGGATGGTCGTCAGTAAGAGCCTGTATTTTAAACGTTTTCTTGCCCATGCGGGCGGAGTTTCCGACATCGGGTCGGGCCCAGGTTGGATGTTTCTCGAACTCAAGACCCAGAAAGCGACCATTGCGGTCGGAGTTTGCTACTTTGTCTCGTGCCTGGGTGCCGCGGGGGAGAACCTGTCCAAAATGCGGGGTATCGCCGAGTTCGTTCGTGCTCTCGGGATTCCCTGGATGTTGGTCGGGGACTTCAATATCGAGGTTGAAACGATGTGGCCCTCGGGATATCCGCAGTCTGTTCACGCTCGGGTATTGGCACCGATGGGAGTCGATTTCACGTGTTCACAAGGGGTCAGGGACGATGATCGATTATGCGTTGGTCTCGGAGGATTTGGCCCCGTTCGTCCAGGTTGGAGTGTACGAACCGCCCCCCTTTAAAACACATCGTGCACTTCGCATCCAGTTAGCTCACCGAGTGCTGGTTCAGCGTCTCGATCGGCGAGTGCGCCCTCGAGTTATTCCAGTTTGTCACGGACCCGACTTACCGCGGCGGCGTCACCTTCATCAAGAGATTTGCTCCGACTGTGTGCCGCTGAGTATGTGCTCTGTGCAGATGGCCCATCTCATCCCGCATGCAGTCGAGCATCTCGATGATCAGATATCTGTACAGTATTCCCTCTGGTCGCGTGCTACCGAACGGTTGTTTCTCTCGCGCGCCTGTGCCGCCATCAATGAGGAGGAGGAGCATGCGTACATGGGGAGAGGGGATGCTATGAAATTGGTTACATCGACGATCACGCATAAAGGTGGCATGGGCACATCTTTTCGTTGTCCGACGTTGGCGTTTTGGTCTCGGTTCTCCGCCAAGCTGTTTGAGCTCCGCACGTTGTTGCGACGGCGATCCACCGAGAGCCACGTTGGCGGGCTGATCATGGACATGGTCAGCCGCGTCGGCGAGTTTTCCGAGGTGCTGCCGCCAGCTCAGCCGCCCCCCTGGTGGACCGATCAGGTCACCGCTGCGGCGCTTGGGGATCTCGATATGGTGGATCGCCTCGTTGACCTCACTTCCGAGGTTTTGAAGCGCGCTTGGACGGCAGCTAAGGCGGAGTCTTCGAAAGGCCTTAAGGCCTGGCTGCTGCGCGCCATCCCACATGGTGCCAAGGGGGTGCATTCCTGGTTGAAGCGTGACAATCGGAGTGTGGTTGAATATTTTACCCCCCCCCCCCCCCCCCCCCCCCCCCGACGGCGCCAAGCAGTTACCTGAAGAAATGATGGAGTATCGGGCCCGTTTATGGGGGGGGTTTGGTCTTTGCCGGAGGATGAGATATTGAGGCTGGGTGACGCCATGTCTGACCTCCGTGCTGTGGCTCTGGAGCATGTGAACGACCTTCCCCCCATCACGGCCCCACGCATTCAAGCGTGCAGTTTTTTCCTCGGCGACAACGGCCGTCGGCGTTGATGGGTGGGGACCTCGGGCGGTGGCTGAGCTCCCTGCCGAGGCCCTTCACGCCCTGGCCTCTCTGTACTCCCTTTGCGAACGGAGCATGGTTTGGCCAGCTCAAATCTTGCTCGGCCTGATTGCATTGTTGCCCAAGTCTCAGACTGATGAGCGCCCCGTCTGTAAGCGCCCCATCTTGCACCGACTTTACACCTAAATTCGGGGGGTGGGAATATCGATGCGTGGACTGCCGACCACACGGCGTTCTGGGACACGGCGGTCAAGGGATCGTCGGCTCTCCGAGCGGCGCTTGTTCGGGAGCTGCACCACGAGTGTGCCAAACATGAAGGGGCTATTGCTGTTGCGATCCATTGGGATCTTACGAAGTTTTTTGACACGGTGAGCCCGATATTGCTCATCCGATTGGCCTTGCGCATGAAATACCCACCCCATCTGTTGTACCTTGGGATGCTCATCCATACGGCCCCCCGTATGTTGGAGGTTGAAGGTTACGTTTCCCGTATGGTGTCCGCGGGGAGGGGGGTTTTACTTGGCTGTTCCCAGAGTGTGCCGTGGGTCAAAATCTACGTTTATGAGGCCCTGGAGGCTGCACATTATC